TCCACATGGCAGTTCCCTGTGCTTTGCTTCCACGGTGTTTTCCCCTTCACCTTTGTTCAGACTGAAGGACTGAATGCTTTCAGCTTTGCCTATTGGCATTCCCTCTGTCTCAGCTGGTGGGATGCAGTTTTTGCCTGGCAGGCCTGATTTCAGTTGAGGTAGCTTTTCCTTGTCTTGGCCACGTTGTTTCCTCTGTTTCATGCTGTAGCTGTTAGTTCTGGTCGTTCTTAATTTCCAGTGCTTCCATTTCTGCACGTTGATGCTCCATTTCGAGCTCCATTTAATTTTCTTTGAATCAGCAGCAGATGCTTCGCTTAGATGTTAGCCAATCTTCTCACATTGCCTGTGGAGACATCTCCACATTCTTGAGGAGTTTTCGGGTATGTTACATCAATTGCTAAGAAAATACAGACAGATGAGACAAATACCAGCACAGTGGGTGTCTCTGTTGTGGTCAGGAGGAGAGCACCTTGCCAAGTCCTCGCGCTCCTGGATGCTGGTGCCATTTCTGTGTCTCCAGAAGGAAGGCTGCCCTGCGGAGCTTCTTCCTGGCACAGGAGTGTGGTTTTCTCCTTCAAAGAGAGCAGCTGGGTGCTCTCCAGCTCTCGTGTGCCAGTGCTGTGGTTGTGGGGGCTGGTGCTGATGTACCCAGAGGGTGAGAAAAGAAAGGGCTGATGTTGGTACAAGGAGTGTTAATAATGGCAGAAATATAACGTGGGTGTGCTTGATCCCCCAAATCCAGTCTAGTACTGCTTCTTTATCCCTTCTTTTCTGGAAGAGTGACGGAGTGTCCCAGCACCATCGGCTGGGGGTGGCTCACTGTGCTGTAGGTGCACTCTGGCTGGTGGGGCGGTGTGTGCTGTGTATGAGGCTCTGCTTCCTTCAGCTGGACTGGAGAGACGTGCTTGGAAGGAAAAGGCCAAGCAGCAGGGCTGTAAAACCATGAGAATGTTATCTGATATCAGTGTGACATCTGCCAACGTGCCTACGAGTCCCACACTTCACATTTCCAGTCTTCTGGGAGATATTTCATCTGCCAGTGACTAGGCTGCCTACCAGGACCAGAACTGGCGGGCATTAAGGAGTCAGTTCCAAAAGCAAGCTAGGCACAAAGGAGAGATGGCTTTCCCTCCATCCCAGTTTTGTCCTTTTTGTGTGGCTGATGATCTTTGCTGCACGGTGTTATTTTTCTCTTGCACTGCGTGTGAAATGCTGGATGTGATTAGTAGATAGAAACAGTGATTAGAATTAAAATAAATACATAAAAATTAAGTAGAACAATGTGACACAAACATAGCATGCAGAAACCAGTTGTCCAAAAGCGATTGTCCCAGCAGAGGTGCTGTAACCTGTGCCATTGAGAGGCTTTCCGAGCGCCCTGCCGTGCTCTGGGCTTTGGTTTCCCAGCCTTGGTTCATTCCCAGCCTGGGACCCCTCCTGCTGTCCCTGTGCTTTCCAGTCGCGCTGCGGCAGTGAACATCAGAAGTTGCACAGTGTCTGTCTTGTGCGAGCACTGCGAGTTGAGCAGAGCGGTGGTGACTCATGCCTTCAAGTACTTTCTGTCTTTAAATTTGCAGAATGTAGGCGTGGACCGGTCGAGAGAAGAAGCCTTGAGGACAGTACCCAACCACCTATAGCTGCGGCTCCGGAGGCAGCAGCCCTTCCTCCAGCACCTGAGCACGGAGCGGCAGCTCGGGCCCTGAGAACGGTGAAGGCGTCGCTGGGCGGCGGGCAGAGCGCAGCTCCCCTCCTTCAGACGTTCCCAGTGTGGTTCAGCTTCTTTGGAGAACAGCTGTAGTTGTGGTTAACTCCTGGTAGTGGTAAAAAGAGATCCGTGCTGACGGAGTCCAGTTGGTTGTAGACTTCTGTATGTAAAGTTGTGCTGTTTCAGTGGCTTTTAGTGTTCATCTGTGGATACTGCAAGATGGTTAATTGCCCGTGTCAGTTTTACTGTCAGATTTTAACTAGACTTTACTTTCTTTAAGTAAGTGTTTTTCTAAGAATTTCTCTTATTTCTACTGTGAATCATTGCCTAGAATTATGGAGAGGCTTATTTAACACAGACAGAATCCTGCATTTAGAGCATTGGAGGCTTCATGTTGCAAAACTACTTTTAATCAGAAAGCTCATCAGCAATGCTAGCTTCTGTCTCACTGTAATCTTGGGTTTGCCCAAAGACACTGAAGTTGTTATGAGAGGAGAAGACTTTCCCCTGGGAAAACAAAACGATTCCAGTGAGTTTCACCACCTGATAGATCCTGTGCTTGAGTGGGGTTGTGACATTTTCCAGGGGTGGCTGTAGTGTGGAGCACAGTGGAGGGCAGAGCTTGAAGTAATGGCTGTGGGATGAGTGGGGGGCAGCAGCCTGGGCAATGAGAGCGGGCAGAGCAGTGCCTGTGTGTGCGTGGCTGCAGGACGGCCTGGCAGCTGTTTGACCGCCAGCTGGGGAAGGGCTCAGGATGCAGAGGCTGCAGGAGCTGCTTTTCTTTTTGCACTGTGATTTGGAGGCAATTTTGGGATGAATTTCAACACGTATGTTTCTCTTTATAGCCACATCTAACACATACATCAGGAAACAGTACTGAAAGGTGAGGTGGCATTTCACCTTTCTTATAGCTCATGCGAGAAAACATCAGGTAAATTGTGAAACTTCTTTGTCATGTGGCCTGCATGCCTTTTTGTCTTTTAATTATTGTTGTTTTTAAGCAACCTCTTCGTTGCTATTCTGTAGTTCTCTGTGAAACTCCAGTGCTACAAATGGGCTTCTCTATGTCTGTTGAGTGGATGACCTCCTAAGTACTAAACTGCTTTGCATTCGGTGTGTTACCCTCAGCTGCAGTGAGCTGCCAGCGCTGTGCTGGCTTTGTCCAGGAAGGAGGACTGCCTTGTTGTTGATGGACGGTGCTTTTTCTTTTTGTTTGGTTGGTTGGTTGTTAAATCTTTATTCTTAAGGACTTCAAGTGACCGAACCTTTACCGCAAAAGGCAACAGAACTCAGTTCAATCCCTGTGTGAAATACTGGGTCCTCATAACATCGTCTTGCAGGCTGGGGATGCGCCGCCTTCTGTTCATGCAGGACTTGTAAGATGCTGTGCTGCTGTCGTGGTTTGTTTTAATAAGCTGATGTCAGCGAGCTGCTCCGTGCTGGAAGTAAGCCATATCACATCGCTGGGTTCCACTGCAGAAGAGGAAAGGGGAGGCACGAGGTGACCAGGAACACTTGCTGTGAGCGCTGCTGGCTGGAGCTGCGTGTGTCTCAGCCCTTTCTTCATTCAGCTGTGTTCGTAGCTTTGTGTGAGGAGCGCCGCACGGTGCTGCTTAACTTACTGATGATAGAAACCAAGGCCATCTTTGTGCGAAACGCACAGAACGCTTCCCCCCTCTGATTTTGTGTTCTTTGCTTGGGAAAGCAGGGCTCTTCTCTGCTGTGACCGGAGCCGTTCCACAGCTCCTCCTTGAGATGTGTGCCCCTGGGGCTGGGGAAGCAGGGGGCTGCGCCTCTGAGGAGCGTGGTGGAAGGAGAGGTTCCCCCCAGCGAGAGGTGAGCTGCAGGCTGCTCTTTCCTCCCCCTCTCTGTTTGACCTCTCTGCCCTTTCAGAGGTGCTGTATGATTCCTCGAAGCTGAATGTTTTTCGTACAGTAGGTATTTTTATAGCCTGCTTTTGAATATACTGTGAGTGTTTTACTAAGTGGGTGTTGAATTAAAAAAATATAATAATAATTAAAAAAAAGGTTGTATAGAAGTGTAAATAAACTGTTATGCTGATACTTGAAGAGAAAAAAGTTATGAAGTTGTCTATGGGACTTTAGGTACTAAATCATCAACTGCATCCACCCCTTTCTAGCTGGTGAGAGCCAGTGTAGACAGTGAATGTAAGCGTGCAGCGAGCTGCATTCTGCCTGCTGTGTGACTTCTGTCTGGGAGGCACTGGGGAGGACTGCAGTGCACCAGCAGTGCCCTGAGCAGCTGTCCATGTCCTGCACTCTTCCTGCCATGCAGCCCTGACTGAATCAGCACAGGGAGGTAAAAACCCTCGTCCTGGTCTTGTAGTATTTGTGTCTGTTCCGCTGCCTTCTGATTAATGCGCTCGCTAGCTCAGATGCAGACTTCTGAATGAGATTAAACTACCTGTTCTTACGTTGTTGGCCTTCATCGTTGTAATCTTTCAGACCAATGTAATTGTTTGACATTTGATCCAAGCAATAAAGATCAAATGTTACACCCTGCACTGCTGTGTTTTTTTCCACGGCTACTGCAGCAGTGGAAGTGCTGGGGAGCAGTTCTTTTAGGTGAGAATGTGAAGATTTGCCCAAGGGAGCAGGAATGTAAGACTGTTAACTCTTCCTTTGCATTTGAATCAAGCTTAATACTACACTGGTCTTGCATCCTCTTCCACCTGCCACCTTCTGGCACATATTTGCACATACAGTTGAGGTGGCATGAAAATTCCAGAGGCAAAGTGAGAATTAAGTGATTGAGGGCAGCACCACTGGTTGAGGGGCACGGTGCTGCACAGCTCAAGAACAGAGCAGCTGCTTGCCCTCCTTTAGAGCAGCCCCTGCAGCCCGGCACACAGCAGGGAGGGGAACTGCTGGCAGCAGTTTGCAGTTGCACAGCACTGCCCGGCTGTGCTGCAGAAATGAAAGTCAGCAGGAGTTCCTGCAACACACAGGTTTTTAAGAAGTCCTTTCTGGGGAGGAAATGAGTTTGTTTCTTATGTTTTCCTAGTAAAGATGAAGGCATTTATTAACTGTCAGAGCCAAGGATGTGCAGCTAATGAATTGCAGTATGGGCTGCTGGGTGTGGGCCTCAGTGCCCAGAGCAGCACTGCCCTGCTGCCTCCACCAGCTGCAGGCTGTTAGTTCCTCATTTCAGATAATTCTAGAAGTTTTTCTTATCTTTGTAAGTGAAGAAGACTTGAAAATGATTATCATTTTCTACTGTGGATTAATTACAACCGGAGTTTAATTGGGTATTCGTCCACGAGAAAGAAATCAAAGTGAGGAATGAAAGTTTAATGTAACTTTCTTTGAAGTGAGGACAAAAGAACCAAGGCTCAAACACGTTTTTTTTAAAAAGACATCTTCCATTCTCCAATGTCTTGAGCAAAATATACAGCACATTTATATATATATATATATTTATAAAACATAACTACATTCAAGTAACCAAACAATTTACATTTTCCCAAACAGAGAAAATAGTGCACGCGATTCACACACCTCACACCCGGCCATGCATAAAAGAACACTGCCAGTACAGCAGCAGTTACACGTGATCACCCACACTACTGAGCTGCTGTGCTGAAGTACTGACACATCACTGGAGCACAGCACGGAGCACTGCGGTTTTCTGCTCCTAGCATTTGGAAGTCTGGCTCCGTTCGGACTATTTTTCTAAGATCTGTTCAAATTTAGGGTTGGTGAAGGAGAAGCCATCGAACGCAGACTGATCCATGGAGTCGATCAGGTTTTTGTCACTGTAGGAGAGCTTTGGCTTCTCATTCAGAAATTCTCTGTCAAAGTTGTTGTAGTCACTCGCTGACTTCTGTTAAATAGAGAAGGAATGACAGTTTGGGGCAGGGCTGCAAACCCGGCTTCCAGAGCAACTTCCCAAACCGCACTCTGGGTTCAGTGAAAGAAAATTCCTTGCCTATTTTAAACAATACAACAACTTACACCTGGGCAGTTACAGATTGGTGGTTGGAAACAAACAGCTCTGTGTTGCTTTGAACAAAGAACCACCTGGATTCATGATGAAGTTTCACTTAATGACCCAAGGATCCTCCGCTGCCGCAAGCAGTGCAGTCACATTTAAGCCCAGAGATATTTTTAAATTCCTGAAAGCATTTAAGGTCTGCGTTCATTCAGAGAAAGACCTGATGCTGTCCTCCAGCTGTCTGTGTCTGGATAAAGCCAACATTGGTGCATGCTTCCCAAGAACTCCCAGAGTTTCCCAGCATTGCCCTCAGAAATACTGAAGGCCATCTTTTACTTTCTGAACCTTCAAAGCTTACAGTTTGCAGGACTCTTAAACTTCCGCAGTGCCTTCTATGTTAATGCCTCCCACTCGTAAGTGGAACAATTCCTGCACCAAGTATATAAGGACATTTTAAGAAGACAGCTTAATCTCTAGATCATTTATCTGCACCTGCACCAGGGTTAAGGAAAACCGATCTCAATTTTTAGCTCAGATGAAGCAGCAAGAGTCTGTGGTGATGCAGACTAAAAGCAGTTTGTTCTTTACACACTCCTCCTTTTAGATAACACCAGGCACATGCACTGCAAACAGCTTTAATATCAGTGTGAAGAACATCCTTCTGCCCAGCTGGAGACTCTCATAATATGAGTTTGGAGCAGCAGAGGTATGTAGTATTGGTGCACACTGGTACAGGGACCAGCTGAGCAGCCCAAAGTTTATTGGTTCTTTGCCAACATGGCAACACAGCAGAGAAAAGCCCAGCAGTGCCAGCAGTAGTGCTAACATCAAGGCATGGAAAACATTCACTTCTCCACTGATCTAAAGATTTGAGAAGGGTGGACTTCAGAACTATGAACTGATTTTTCCTGAAGGCTGGAGTGGTAAATAGGCTTCTTGAGGTCATATACGAAGGTGGTCTTAAAAGGAAGATTTCAGACTGCAAAGCATTCCAGGTTTCAGGAAAAACTACAGTAAGTAAGAATGCTTGAAGCAAGTTAGAGAAACCACCTATGACTCCTATATATATGGGCATTTGCAATAGTGCCAAGAAACAAAGCATCATCCACATACCACTTTTGGCTTGAAAGGAGGGTCTACCTCCCTCTTCTCTAGGGTCATCCAGTTGATGGTTTTGAAGAAAGGATGAGCTCTGATATTCCCAGTGACACCAAGCCTTCTTGTTGGATCTCTTTCAAATAGCTGCAAGACAAGATAACCAATGATGTCTCCCATCTGCTAAGAAGGTAGGTGGCACTGGAAGAAGTAACGGGTGTGCTGCTGAAGCGAAGCTGCTAATGGTGAACAGGCATGACTACTAACCTCCCTTGGCTTTCAATTTGTAGAAGTTATCTGCTAGCTGATAAGCAGCTCCTTTTAAAAAGCTGAGATTTCAGGGAATCGTGGAATCTTTTGAGTTGGAAGGGACATTTAAAGGCATCCCTTCCTCCTCCTGTAGTGAGCAGGGGCACCCACAGCTCCATCAGTGCTCAGAGCCCCATCCAGCCTGACCTTGAACGTCCCCAGGAATGGGGCACCACCACTTCTCAACAACAAACAAAAAACAAACAAAAACTAAAAAATCCTTCCTAATACCCCATCTAAATCTCCCCTCTTTTAATTTGAAACCATTTCCCCTTGTCCTGTCACAACAGACCCAGCTAAAGAGTCTGTCCCCTTCTTTCTTACAGCCCCTTTGGGTACCGACAGGCCGCTCTCAGCTCTCCCTGCAGCCTTCTCTTCTCCATGATGCACAGCCCTAGCTCTCAGCCTGTCCTGTATGGGGCTCATAGGGAACACCCCCCTATTTGCAAGAAATACGCTATGCTGACCCACTCCAGGATAATCCAACTTACCTTTTCTAATATATCTTTTGATTCCTTGGTAATCCAGCGTGGGTAGTGAGGGGTGTCCATGCGGATCGACTCAAACAACTCATCTTCATCATCCCCATGGAAAGGGGACTGCCCAATGAGCATCTCGTACAGCAGGACCCCAAATGACCACCAGTCCACAGAGAACGTGTACTTCAAGCCTTGCAGAATCTTGTTCCATGAAAAGAGTACAGGGGAAGAAACGTGACTAATTAGCAAAAGGCAGAAGTGCGTGCCAAAAAAACAGAAGTGTGAGTTTAAGAGGAATCTTTAATAATGGGCTTATCTGGGGAGGTGGAAAAATCCAGCTGTCTGACAGGACTGCTGACACTCTGTAGCACTATGCTCAGCTGCTGCCTGGAAGCTCAGAGGACGCAACTTTGCTCTCATTCTCAAGTTTTCTCCATTAACTTTAAATGCCACATTCTTGGAACCATCTACTCTGGTTTCATTACAAAGTAATAAACAGGGAATGGAGGAACACACAGCAATGAAAGCAGATTATTAACCAACAGACTTTGACATTTATTGCTTTTAATAGCTAACCACCTTATTTGACTATCATGCAACTCAGATAAGAAACCAGCTCTGAACACAAGGAATTTAACTGTGAGAGTCTCCTCAGAAGCCGTTTTTTGCTTTGAATTTTGGCTGTTTACATGGATGCGTGTCTGCACACATTTTGCAGGAGCCCTGCATGTAAGGCAAAAGGGAAAGCTACAGATTTTCAGCAACTGAAAAATTTACATTTTAAAAGAAAAAAATCGGGGTTTTGTAAAGTGTAGATAGAGAACACTTACAAATGTTATGAGCCTTCCACAGAACGGCTCAGATTTAATGTTTTTCTTATGCTAATTAGACTACTTTGTTTTTCAAACAGTTTTGAACTGCTTTTAAGAGGGAAGAATAACCACAGAGGCCACTCAAAGGTGGGTGCGTTAAATCCACTGCAGCAGTGTGTGGCACTGATGGACTCACCTCTGGAGCAATGTAGTCTGGGGTCCCACAGAAAGTGCTTGCCTTGTTCTCACCAACTACATTTTCTTTGCACATTCCAAAATCAGCTATTTTGATGTGGCCTTCTTTATCGAGCATAACATTGTCCAATTTTAGGTCTCTGCAAAAGGGGGATAAAAGAAAAACAGCATGTTGGAAACACGAGTGAATCATTTTTGGATTCAGATGTATGCGTGTTCCTCCTGGCTAACAACAGCCTTCCCTACATCACACAAAGAGGCTTTTCAAAGAAATAATCATCCATCAACACAGCATCTACGAGTAGTAACTCCTGTACTTTGAAGATGGTAGGGAGAGAGGAAGACTTCTCCTCAGAGTAAGAAGGAGGCTGAGGTGTCCATACAAAGTGATCATAAAATCCTCACCATGCTTCCATGTCCAGAACCACTCAGTGCTTCGGTTGCCTCTGGAAGGAGGTGTGAGTTAATGCCTCACCACTAACAGCAGTGCTGCACCGACTGTGAAACTCAGAGGAAAAGCTGTCGGATGCCAGGAGTGTTTGGCACAAGCACCAACGTTCGAAGCCTGCCCAATTTTAGTACCACCTGTGCCTTGTTCCTAGTCACAGCACAAGGCACTTTGCGTGCTGTGGCCACTGTCTGTGACATGCCCTCTTGGTGCCTTTCCTCAGAACTGCACTCCTCACGCAGCAAGAGCCTTTTTTAACAGCAGTTTCCAAAAGCTACATTCCCTCCCTTTGACTGCAATGTGTTTTCTGTCCATCTGGCTGCAAAAGCACATACCGAGGAGAGCAGGCTGGAGAGAAACCATGCAGCCCTTCTGCTTACCAAGACTTGAGCAGATTTTACATGAGAACAGGGCAGTCTTTTCTCCCCAGGAGCTTAAGCTTACATTATCAGCTACTTACACTGCCACAAGGGTGAGCTGCAGGATGAACCAGAGGAGTGAGCTGCAGTAGGAACCAAGAGCCCCTGCTCAAATGCAAAGCACTGTAAATCCTTCTGTGTTTGGGCTGTTCACCCGAGTAAGTTTCTGAGACAGGGAAAGCTCACTGTAACGTAAGGCACTGCTCTTATCTAGCTGCAAGTTCTAAAATCATCTGCAGGGGTGAGAGGGGTTCACTCATGTGCATCACCTACCTAAAACTGCTCCAGTTGGGTTCTGTGATTACATTGATCAACTTCCTATGTGTGATGGGGAAGAAAAGTGCCTTTGGTTTTGCTGATGTCCTGTTGGTAAACGGTACTGTTTCTCTGAAAATATTCCATACTCTGAAATCTCCCTGTAGGAGCACTAATTTAATGTAGGGACATTTATAAGCAGGCCTGGAAATGCTCTACAAAATCTGGGATGGAAAGATTTCCTGCTGATAACAGCACGCTCCAACAGGTGTGTCTTTACAGCAGTAAAGGGAGAAGGTCACTACTGGACATCTCTGCACGTACCTAAGGCCATGCACAACTTGCTCTCAAACACACAGAAGTTGTCTGCTAGAGATAAGAGCTGCCTGAACAGGCAGCTACCAAACAGTGCTTCAGAGACTTAGGATCCCTTGTCATGTGGATATGTACAGTAAAAAGCATCTGATGAGCATCTGGTTCCTGATATTTGCACCTGGTGAGGCAGAAGCATCGATCCTGTGGCTTCACATAGATGGCAAAAGCAGACGACTTTCAACCTCTGTGATTCCACAGGGCTGGCAGGAACTGACACCCACAGGGACCCTCACCACTGCACTGAACTGGAAAGACTCGTGATTTGAAGGGATAGTTTAAAAATAACAGACAAAATTGCTTTTGTGTAACATAAATAACATTCCGTCATTCTGGTTGCCAAGGAAAAGACACAAAGATACAGAATTCATCTCAGGCATCTTAATGCCCTTGGAATAACATCAAATGTCTGACAGAAAGGCTTTACTTGTTACATCAATCAGTAACTCAAAGAGGCATGAAATGTTAAGGCATTTCCTAGTTCCCACGCTGGAACTGGATGGCACTCACCTATAAATAATGCCTTTGCTGTGAAGAAACTGTAGCCCACATAAAATTTCAGCTCCATAAAACCTGAAAAAACCAAAACGCCTTTCAGTTTGTCTTTCTCAGTTAAAACAGGAGACAATGCAGCTGGCCAAAAGACCTAACATAAAGCTTCATGAAGTGAGAAGTGTTACACGTTCCTTTACATACTCAGGAGGAGCAAAGCAGTGTTTAATGTTAGGCCTGTATTTATACAGATGGATGTTATAATCTGCGAGTTAACCTTCACCACACAGCTGTGATGCCAAACAGTGGGGACAGCAGCTTGCTTTAATTCTCTTTCATTGTGGAATGCTGTCCCTTTTCTACTCTCTAATAGTTCAGCATGTATTTATAGAGAAATATGCAATAGTCTTTGAAATGCAGTTACTGGGATTAACACAGCTTAATACAGCACTGCACGGGGGGTGATGGGGCACTAAAGGCTACATTTGAGACAGACCTCAATACCTATATCCTTCTATGCTTGGCCAATTGCAGCACAGGCTGAAAAGAAGCACTGCTTCTGTTTCAAAAAGGAGGTGATAATCCAGGATACCAAAGAAAACATTTAAGGAATGCTTTCTCTTCCCCCAAGAATGTATGCCTTTAATCCAGTGAGCATTTCCTCAGTACAACATGCAGTAACACCAGGCATTTTCTTGTCCAGTTATACAATAGCACTGGTGCTTCTGGGTACCCCATGCTGTTACATTTAAGATTCTCCCATTCAATGACACAATTACAGGCATTCTGCTGGGTGAGGTAGTTAAAAACTGACCTAAAAGTTACAGTTGGGGTAATACGATATTTTTGCATCTTTTAAAGTCTTCAGCTCGTTATCTTTGCCATAAGTTACTGACAGAATCACTTTCCTATTTTTACAAACATCTTGTGTGAAGTGCATGCTATCCTCCTGTACTAGTGATTTTATTTACTAGATTCTCCCAGCCTCCTCCAATGCTGTTTTCTTATGAAATTGTTTTTTTCCATGGAAATACTCTCCTAGAGAACACTAATGCTGTACTTTTCATTGCTGGCGTTTGTCGTGGCTTACCTAGCATCTTCATGTACAGGCATCCCTTAAAGCAAAACACGACAGTGCTTTGTAAATGTTAGAACCAGAAGCAGAAGAACCATAAAGCATGCATGGATTTGGGACTGAAGCATTGTGGACTTACGTTGCTCTGTAGAGATCGAAACGCCCCTTGTCTTGTATGTGAAACATCAGGTCTCCCCCATTCAGGAACTCCATAACAAAAAACAGGTGATCCTGTTTGCAGATAATCAGAGAACAGAAACATCACTGATGCCATTGTGTACACAGTAAGTAGCAACGTGGCTCCTGGGTACCAAGTGGCCACATTCCTCATATCCTGAAATAGTTACCTGTTTTGTGCACCCCTAAGAGTTGCTAACGATTTGAATAGCATGAGCTTATGAGGTTGAGGAGCTCATTGTGTATTCTGTGGGCTTCTAGATTTAATATAAATATACATTTAAACAGACTTACTGACTTCTGTCTGTCATTACTGACAGTCATTTTTGTTCCCTTCACTGAGGACGATAAAGCTAAGGTCAAGGCTTTACATTAAACTGCCTCTTACTCCACTTTGTGTAGATGTACTCAGATCCCATTCTGTTTTCCTCATCACACTCACGTGTACTTTGCACAAGTCTTGTGAACTACTGCAGGGGAGCACAACAAGAATGAAGCAAAGTTAAATCCCCTCAGCTATTCTCCCTTGACCGTTGGTAGCAGCACCCATTCAGAGGCTACACGTGTTGTGTCGCTGCTGCCACTGGGTTTCTTTTCCTTACCTTTGTCTGGAACGTGCAATAAAGGTGCGTGAGAAATGGATTTTCCCATGCAAGTGCTAGGACCCGCTTCTCCACCATGGTGCATTCCACATCATCATCAATTAGCACCACATCTTTTTTCAGAGCTTTGATGGCAAAGAACTCATTCTTTCCTTTCAGCTCAGCAAGCAGGACCTACAAATGAAACGAAAGATGAGATTAAAGCAGGGGTAGGAAAGACTGCTGGTAAGGCATCAGGTAAGGAAAAGTCAAGGGCATTTACAGCAAGCGCCATGACAACTAAACAACCACATGAGTGAGAAGGATGGGTGAGACTTGGGAAGGTGAATCTGCTGGGCGTAGCTAAGAGGAGATGGGGTACAAAGAGCATGGAACACAGGCAGGGCAGCTGTCAGGGCAGTTTTTCTGTCTTGTGATAGCATAAATAGATGCCTGTTTCTTCATTGGAGCTGGAGTTTCACAGCCAACAGAGGACAGGCCCTGAGGAGGTCACACCACTGCTGGACACGCACAGAGCAGAGGCAGACAGGAGTGGAAGGTCACACTGCCCTCCCACGTATCCCCTCCCATTGCACTGAGTCCCTTTCTATACAAAGTGTATCAACATGAATTATCCTTTTGGATGAAGGGCAATTCCTCTAAACTGGATATTAAATAATTCAAAACCTGTTGTGCATCAATGAATCCCTTCTGCTATCTGACAGATTCAGGTGAAGACTTTTTGTCTTTTTGACAAGGATGTGTTCTACTGTGTTCTGTTATAATGTTATCTATTGAGTGGATGTAAGACAGTTCTGGTTAACAGAAACAGCCCATAGTACTGCAGAGATCAAGCAAGGCTGTCAGTTTAAGCTCTGTAAATTTACTACATACCTTTCCAAAACTTCCTTTCCCCAGTACTTTATGGAAGACAAAGCTGTCGATATTGAATTTTCTCCTGCTCACAATGCGTGATGCTGGCTTGGCAGAGCTTCCCTCCCAGAGTTTATCATATTGGCTGTTATCTGCTAATTCAAAAAGGAGGTTAAAGTTCAGTATATTTAGAAAAACTGCACAACTCAGATCCCCTGCTAGGAAGTAGTGACACTATTTCAATTCAATGACACCCTATTTCAGTTCATCTGCTGCTGGGACACTGGCCAATCTAACCATACAGGTCAAATCACATAGTTTACAACCAGTTTAAATTACTCAAGAACATCTGATAACGTTGGATTGGAATCTGTGATCATTTCTGATGCTGGGTTTAAGCAACACATACGTTATGAAAATGAAAGAGCCTAACTTCATCACTAAGATACAGAGCATAATTTGAGAACAGGAGAGGAGAGCTTAGTCCTCCAGTCTGAGGAGAGAGGCCACAAAAAATCTGGTTTGCATCTGATCAAAGAATCACCAAGGTTGGAAAAGACCTCGAAGATCATCTAGCCCAACCACCTACCTATTCCCCCCTGAACCACGTCCTTCAGTACAACGTCCACATGTTTCTTGGACACCTGCAGGGATGGTGACTCCACCACCTCCCTTGCAGCCCATTGCAGCACCTGACCGCTCTTTTACAGAAGGAATTACTCCAAATATCCAACCTGAACCTCCGTGGTGCAACTTGAGGCCATTGCTTCTCATCCTACTGCTGTTTCCTGGAAAAGAGGCCAACCCCCACCTCATCACAACCTCCCTTTAGGAAGCTGTACTCCTCCAGACTGACCAATCATGGCTCCCTCAGCCACTCTCCATAAAACTCACGTTCCAGTTCCCTCACCAGCTTCACTATCCTTCTCTGAACACATTCCAGGACCTCAATGTCTTTCTTGTAGTGAGGGGCCCAAAACTGAACACAGTACTCGAGACCTCAGCCAGAGCTGAGTACAGGGGACGACCACCTTCTGCACCAACTAGCAGCAGATGATGCTGGCTAAAAAGCACGAAAACAACAGTTAAGTTTGACTATATTCTAAAATTAATAACATCATTCCTTGGATCCCTACTGCACAGATCTAGCACGTCACAACAAGACACTGATGACAATCACAAGATGATACTCTATACACCCTGCAAGCTGCACAGCATCTGAAGCAGGCAGGAATCTCAATGGCTGCAATCCTGACTTAATATTCAACCAAGCCACCTTTGCAAGAGGTCACTTGCTCTCTTTTGGCAAACCAGAACAAGTATGATAAATAACATGACACTCAGTTTCTTACTGGGCATTGCAGCAGAACCATCTCAGTGCATAGCTGCGAAACCACCATTTACTTCTTACTGAGCCTGGAGATTTTCATCTGATACCAAGTCAGCTTTTTGTTACACTTACCTCTGAATAAATAACCACAAGTTGCTAAACCCAGATATATTAACTGCTAGAACTCTTTAGCAATAGTAAAAAATACAAATAAACCCTCATTCTGAACCTGCTGAGATCATTTAAGTGGGATCTGGAATCCTATCTCAGCTGTTCAATCTCAGCTAGTGTTCTGGCTCTTGAATCCCACAACTGACAGCAGTTGTCACTGCACAAAGGCTTCTTACATACTGGGAACAAAGAAAGATGGTTAACAACATATGTGACATTTTGGGGGAGGTGGAGAGGTGTCAGAGCAGTGAGCTGCCCCCCACTGCCACTCAGGAACAGTGCCACAAGGAGGTAACACACAGGTGTCCTGCAGGAAAGGGGGTTTGCTCGTAGACTGAAAAAACACTGCTCTTGGCCAAGAAGTTATTAAGCACTTTGCCTGGTCAGGTAAAAACTGTGTGTATATTTTTAACAACGCTTATTAAAAAAATCATCCAGCAGAAAGCAATAATGAATAACTGAGACCAGCAGTTTGTGCAGTCTGGTGGGTAAATGGCTGGAGGAAAATATGGTTGCTTTTCTCACCTGTTGTATCCCCTCCTGGACCTCGAAGTTTCTTATCAAAATCCTGGTAAATACCAACATTTTCTACAGATCCAGAATCAGACCTTCGTGTGGACTTCTAAGGAGGAAGGGAACACTTTAAGCTCTACTGACAGTGGTACTTCAGCAATATCTACAACAACAGCTGGTAAATGCAGTGTGATGGCAGCACGATCTTTGCTTTTTAATAATTAACTCCCAGCACATCTCTCCTGTAGAATTCTAGTTCACAGGCTATTTAGCCACTCTTTTTCAGCTCAGCCAATCACTTTACTTCTTTCACTGCAAGAAAAACAATCGCCAGGAATCCTGAGCAGTCTGTGTAGTTATTTGCTGAAAAACTACAAAATGTGACAAAAGGTTTGAATCCACAGTGAAAATAATTGTTTAGTTTGAATTTGCTGTTCTCTGGACTTGTGTTGATTTTTCTGAAAGAGGAGATGGGAACCACTGCAGTACTGGACACACCAGAGTCAGCGTGTGACATCCTTCTTTAGCACATGCAAAGAAATTTTAGGTCAGAAGATCTCAGAGATCACGTTCTACTAATGAGCACATCAAGTTTTTCTGTGTTGTGAAAGCTGGTGTAACAGCTCTCTGCGTTTCCAAAGTAAATATCCTGTTAAAGCTGAAGGAAAGCCTCAGCTGAGAGGAAATACTGTTGGCTTTTGTGATGTATTTTCCTGTTTTATTTCAGAGCTTGTGTTTGAATCTCAATTTCCAACTCAGAAGTCAACAGCAGTCTGTACACAAAGCACAGCCACACTGCAGCAGGAGACCAACAAGGTAACTTATGGGGCCAGTGCTAACTCCAGGGGCGTTTTCTTTCTGTATGTATTGGATTAATAAAAACTGAAATAATTTGGTCTATTTCTCCTTTCACACTTAATTTTAGCATTCAAGGGAAATTCTCAAGTTGAAGCACGAGAAAAACAGACCAGCTTTATGCTTTGAACACAATTAAACAGAAAGGGAGAAAATAACCCTGGGACTGTCAGAGAACCAAGGTGCATTTCAGGGAGAACACTCCTCCTTTTTCTGAGCTCTTTGTCAGGAGGGATGCTTCTCTCCTCAGCTTCACCTCTAAGGTGCTGACATCACTGTTATTCTACTAATGGTCAAATTAAGAAGAGAAAGTTGTTTACATTCCCTCAGTTCCAAACTTCCAATCCCAACAAAAGTGATGTGGTGCAGGTGAAGTAAAATAAAAACCAAAAATGTTCTCAAACAACTAATTGCATGACAAAGGGCAATAAAACATACCTGGCTGACTTGAGTTAAAGCTTCAGCTAGCAACTTCTGGTTAATTCCACACAGGTTGGCCACCTTCTTTTGGCATTTATGATGCACATTCATTGCACATTCTAAAATAAATTTAAGGGCAGTTATACAAGCACCAGGAAAATAACATCTGAGATTACAACAAAATGGCTTTTTTCTCAGTGCAGTTCATAAGAATTACAGCAAGCCCAGGTTAGACATTAATCTATGATTACAAATAAAAGTTAAACTTTTTATCTTTAAAACAATGAAGGCTACAACAATACAAAAAAAAAGGTTTCAACCATTCTTCTCAAAGTCTGTTACAATAAAGATCATCTTACATTTTTGTGACAGAACTACAGAAATCTTATTTGCAGAGAACACTTTAAGTACCCTTTAGGTGCTACCTTGAGTCAGTCTCACCAGATTTCAGCTACTCCCAGCAGCAATTTTGATTATGCTCAAGATTACATCTCCAGTGCATGTCTTCCAACTGCATGAGATGCTCAGCTTGGCTGAGCTGTCACACAAGCCAAGCACCTTGCTGTCCCCCTTTCCTAAAGAGCTGTTTGAACAATACAGGGATGATAAATCTCATTCTGCATAACACACAAATGCAGTGCGTGGTGGTACTTAATCTCTAGCAGGGGGCAGAGAGAAAGTGATCCTGCTGGACAAGCAGTGGGAGCTCCCAGCTGCCCTCCCTCTTCCTCCATACCTTCACATTTGAGTCCTTGCTTGACCAGCCCCCAGAGCAGGCTGCCGCAGTGGTCACAGAAAGTAGGGCTCATGTAGTTGTAAACTTTGAAGCGGTGAGGCATGTCAATGTTGAAACGTTCCTTCTGAAACTGTGGGCAGAGAGATGAGTGAGGCACTCGACCCAAAGGAGACCAGGTTCCTATAGAAAATAGCTTGGAAATTACAAAGCTGCAACAATTTTACCCTGGATACCCCAGTCTTAACATTCTGCAAGTAAGAATTTGGGTGCGTATCCCAGCCTAACACGGCAGTTACTGAACAAAAACATGCTTTTAGCATCTCTTTACATCCTACCACATTAGCAGAGAACATGAAGCTACAGAGTAAAATATATATGAGACAATCGGGTGAGATTCTAGGGGTCCTGACAACAGCCAACTCTCACTTCCAAGAACTCATGTCGTATAACACAGATGAAAGATAAGAGTCTCTGCAACACACACTCAAAACACTGGGAAAACAATGCCACCTCACCCTCACAGTACATCACCAGATGTAGCTATGCACCATGCCACAAAACACATCCAAGAGAAAAAATTGGTATTTGGGGCTTTTGAAGCCTGCAAAAATCCTTCTTGATCCACGAACGCATCCTTCATTGCAGGGAGCGAAGCACCCATCAATACTGCCCACCTCCTTCTAGGGCTTTTAACTACCATTTTTTTTTCTTGTTTACTTCCAAGTTTCACCCACTACATATTCAAACCCATTCTTAACACCCCCCGGGATGGACCTGCCTGTTTCCATACAGGGCTTTGTTAGCTCAGCAGTACGTAGCTACACTCCAAGGACGCTTTGCCAGCTCTTACCATCGTGTCTCTGCTGTTGGCTGCAGTACCAGTACACCTCCCAATGATTTTATCAATACATTTCTTATGAATAGCTGCGTTGCACTCTTCATGACATGTACAAGGAAAAAGAAAAAAGGATTTCTTCAGATAATAAATACACGGTGTTTGCATTTCATAGCACAACATGAAAAACACATCGTCACACCATCGTACCAAAACCCTTTCTATCAAGATGATCTTTTTAAAGCAGCTTCCCTTTCATTCTCTTGTGTCATAGCCTCTATTTCTAAACAAAATCTGTCTCCATTAGATAATGCCACCAGAATTTTTTGATATGAGGACAATATTAGGCTTTTGATCCTCTTTGATACCTCCCCTGCTGTTTGAAATAACACACAGAGATCTACTCTAAGTTATGAAGTACTTTTGAATTCAGCTGTAAAATCCATCAGTAATTGTAATTCATTTGACAAAAGGTTTCACAAAAGCAGCTGTCATGTATGAGTGCAGCTTTCCCAGTGTATTACACACACATTAGATGAATAGTTCTGTCTACATCTTGGTACTGAAATTTCAGGTATGAATCACAACTAGGCAACTTTAGATCATCACACAAAATTTAGGTTTGGCATCTACTGGTGACGTAGATGTTTGTGCAAATTTACAGGATTTTTTTCCTAAGGTAACTAATGGATCTGTAAAATAAATTAAATCTATAAAATAATGTAGGAAGTAATACAATAAAAAGACAAAATTCAACTTACGCCTACATTTGTATCCTTGTTTGTTCAGTCCCCTGAAAAACAAATGACAGAGAAGGAAATCACGTAAGTATATGCTTGCTACAATACAAATGTTTTGGGTTTTTTTTTCCTATTTTCACTATGTCACTCAATTCCTTCATCCATGGGACATTTGGTCCCATTAATGAACTGGTCTAGGTTCTGGTAATCAGAACCCACTGCCATAGGAAGACAAGGCTTAGAAATAAAGGCAGTATGTTCTGAAAGGCTATCAAATCAGCAGGAGAACACAGAAAAAAACCAAAGCTTCAATCACAGGGAAATTCCTCCTGATTTGGCTTACTGTTAAAATGACTTCCCTACCAAACTGATCCAGCTTCTTGCTCTTGATGGATCTTTATTCTGCTATCAGATACTTCATATCTCAAAGTCTCAGAGAGTAAATACTTTCCAACTTGTATTACTGATGAATTTACATCTATGTTTTACTTCAACATACGAGGGCAATGTTACAGATATTTATCCTTTGGGGGTGCAGGAAGGTTAGAGCTTCCTTCTTACCATACAAACTCTTTGCAGACAGAACAAAATGTGGGCTGTCCAAAAAAGGTAGCAATAAATTCATGATTTTTGATGTAGTGGATCTTTGCTTGCTTGATAGCTCCTCTTCTGTTGATAGTTACTGTTCCCTCTTCCTCCCTCACTGACTGTCTGCAATCTAAGGGGAGAAATAGGCAGACAAGAAGACATACTTTTAATTCTAAGTTATTACCAAGACTAACATTTGTTTCTCCAAAACGTTTCCTCTTCTGTTTCCAGCTTGTATTTCTAATTTACACCTCCATCATCCTTGCAGGCATTCAGTCCAACAAGGGCAAAACACATGAATGCACCGGTTCCTAAGCATTCTTTTTGCAGGCAGCTCTCTCTCCTGCTCCTTCAGAGGAAGCCTTCAGCAAATGAAGCTGACAAGAAGCAGAGAAGTAGCACAGGCTCACTACAGAAACGACAACTACAGATGTTTCTTGAAAAATTCTAAGCTCTAGTTCATATTAAAGAGAAATTATGTTTTATTGGAAGCAAGATATCTTCTCCATCAGTAGAAGACTTTTCATACTCTGCATGCCCTTCTCAATCTGATCTTCCGAGTCATCACTGGACCACATGGCTGTTTCATTTTGAAATACGAATTTCCTCAGGCCTTCAGGAATTGGCTGAGAACTGGCCCATACAGACCCTTCATCCCTTGTTATAGTGAAGCTATAAGGAAGGAAGCTTCCCAGCTTGTATCATAAAAGTGAGTCTCCCGTGTCATAACCTCTCAACCACAACTCAAGACTCTATAGTGACTCTACACGTTTTGAAAACAATAGGAGGAGTCTGTAAAGGAAATGACTCCATAAAGGTGCATCAAGTTGACTGGAATAACTAGCAATGTAACTGCAGGGCACATCTCTTCTGGACAGAAAGGAGCTGATGAGAGACAATCCCGATTCAGCAGGGAATTAAACTTCAGTCAACCGCAGGAGCAAGTGCATTGCTAACCACATCTGTTCTGGTCAGCAGCTAGAAGGTCTCAATGAGGAAAAACACAGCCATGGCTCACAGGGTGGAAGTGCTGCAAAGTTTAGGGTAATGAGACTGCCTTGTGCAGGGTGGGAGGTTTCACAACCATGGAGCAACACAAAAGCCACAAGAGTACTTTTCCCGTTGCCAATATAGCTGGGGTTTGATTTACTCCATGGCACTGATGCTTTTCAACAGTGTCAGGCAGTGCTTTGCCTTCTATAAGGGCTGCTCCAAAAGGAATGCTCCTATTTTATTCTGTCAGCCCACAAAGTCAGAGGCAGATGTCGGTAGGATGGCAGTTGAGGTTGAACCTTCCTACCAATATCCTGTGACATTTTGTTGCCAAACAGAGACGGCAGCAGAGTCAGACAAAATGGTGTTGGACATGGGAGTGCTTATAAAACAAAGGGCTGCCACTGTATTTCTCCATGCAGAAAAATTAGTGCTAACTGACATTTACCAACACTTGCTGAATGTTTACGGAGACCAACTGGTGTCTGCGCACAGTGAGGTGCGGGTGGTGTGCTTCAGCAGCACAAAAGACCATCATCACAGAATCATAGAACAGCCTGGGTTGAAAAGGACCATAAACATCACATAGTTTCAACCCCCTGTTATGTGCAGAGCTGCCAGCCACTAGGAGGCATTACTTTTGGAGTGACCTACATACACTGACAGAAACAGCCCTGTTTCCTTTGCCAAGTCACATCAACCACAATGCCTGCATTTACTGCTAAGTTACCCAAGAGCCGTATTCGTGTTGCTAGATGTGTTTGTTCTTTGTCATTTTATCTGCTGTCTGCCACTGCTGCAGTTCCAACAGACCACTGAACCTGGAAGACAGTCTATCATCTGATACCATTTTGAGTGTCCTGAGCTAATTCATCAGTCAAGACAACAGTAGTCAGCCTACAGCAGCACCTGCTATTGTAGAAAAGAAAAGTCAAAGTCAGTTCAGAGGTTAAGAAAAGATTAAGCATTTTACTGCAAAGAATGATCAAAATAAACCCCTTGGTTTTTAGCATCAGATATTAAAACACTTTCCTGAGAAACCGACCAGAGGAAAACCGACCCTGTCTTGACCTGGTGAGTTTAAAAGAAGCACTGACAGCATGTACACTGCGACTTCTTTAGGAATAGGATTCATTTCTGCTGTTCAAACAGGCCACTGAGTTCACCCAGCAAAAACTCCCATCAACCGCCGCACTCCAGGCTCACCCGTATCTGCAAACAGTCCTATCCTCTGGTTGAACCTTCCTGAGCAAATACACAGATCACACCCACTGTCCCTCAAAAGCTTCCGGGAAACCACACACTGAAATGTGTGGGCAAGAAAAAAAAAAAAAAAAAGCATGTCAAGAGCTGGTAGGAGTTCATACTGTCTGTTGCATGAAAAGCATGTGTTCAGAAGGGGGGTTTAATCAGCAACAGCAACAAAGCAGAGGAAGGAATGCTGTTTCTTCATGTGTTTTAAGGAGATACCCTGTGACTGAACAGACTGGGGAAAAAGTCTTCCTAAAGTCTGAACACTGTGGTTCCCCATTCTACAATGAGCAACAAACAGGATTCACCACCGTGCAACAGGGTACGGCTGATATACTGTTAGCAATTTGGTACTGCTGATGCTGAGTGCAAGATTCCCAGATAACACTTTAGATCAAGATATGGAAAATCACGGTGTTCCTCCTTGTCTGGAAAACTGACATTGAACCTAGCAGAAATGCATTAGATAGGCATCTAATTCTAATGGGTAATTAGAAAACTGGGCTGCACCACTTGAGAAGAAGAGGGAAAAATAAATGTTTTCCTTAAACATACTCAACTATGAAGAACCCTGGAGCACAGGAGAAACTTCAAAATCTGCACGTGACAATAAACAGTCTTCACAAACAGTGAAGTGCCTTATTATGTACCTCTGCCATAAGCAACATACCAAAGCACAGCTGAAAGCACGCTGCACGCTTCTGAAGATACTGCGAGGTTTGGACTGCAGCTGTACGGCATGTGCATCTGGACCTGAGATGGCTCCTAAATGATAGCACAGATCATTTACTGCAGCTGTACTTAGCAAGTTATCGTTAAGGTGCAAATTATCTCTAATGTGCATTGCTCAAGTTTTTAAGTTCAGCCAAACGTGGACTCAGGGAACACAGGCTTTGTTTTAGAGATGCAGAGAGAACTAATGACTGCAAGGAAGGACATCTTCCAACAGCAGCATGGAGGTGGTGAGAGGAAGAAACACTAAGGGAAAGCCTTTGCCTTTCTCCAAGCCAGAACTTCCCCAGGTGACACACTCGTGCTGGGCTGGCAAAACCAGAGTCACGGAGCTGAATCAGCAATAGAATCCTGTGACTCTGCTGCAACAGCAGTCCGGAGCCCACTGTAATCATTCAGAACCCAGCACACACCATTAACCATCCTCTACTTCCCCTGCTGAGAAGTTAATATTTATCAGTGGCACGCTGCTTTTATATGCCAATGATGTGACAAAAGGATCCCTGCTGCCCTATGCCACATACTCATTAAGCATGCCCAAGTGCAAACGCTGCACTTCTCCAGAGGTGCTGCAGCCATAGCAGTGTGCACACTGTCCAACTGTAGCACCAGCCCCTGTGACTATTTGTAGCCAGCATCACACCAGGCAAACCACAGCCTGAGAAACATCTGCTGAGCTACCTGACACAACACTGCTGGGACTCTGCTGAACTGTAATGAACCTCAAGGCGACACGTCAGGTTGTTCGGTTTGACCTCCCAAGTTACAAAAGAAACAAAAAGGGTTTTAAAGAGAATAGAAAAACATTTATCACCTTCAGAGTTCATTTTTCACTTTATCCTGTTCGTTTCATGATTTTGTTTATAATCTGAAGAGAGGAAAGATAACCAATGCTACTGGCAGAACCTGAGAACTGAGACTTTACTCCAAACAGGGAGGGACAGGCAAAACGTTTCCAGAGTTAAATGGCTGATTGAGTTGAAAGAGATTTGCCTGAAACTTTACCGTAAATTATAAAACTCACCAAACATTTCTGTTCTGTGTGTCCTTCTGCAGTTCTACTGCCTTCGCAAGTTTGTTTGAAAGGGAGGTCAAGAAAAATATTAATCTCACGGGGTAATCATTAAAAAAAGAAAACTTGCTTCTCGCAGAGATCTTCCTGGTACAAACTGTGTCTCTAATCTGGTCTTGGAGAGGTTTGCTCTACAGATCTGTACAAAAAAACATCCACAGAAGTACAAGTTTCCCAGCAGTCTGTGTTTCTGTGACGCAATTTTGCTATGCTCAACTATTTTGGGGTTTGCGATCGTTATGATTCACTTGCAGGCTGATTATTAATATTGGCAGGTGTTTCTCTTTCCTCTTAAGCCATCTTCTTCACTTTCAAAACCTGCACAAGCCCACGCTGCGTGCACTCAAAGCTGGAGTACAATGTCACATTCCCTGCCTCGGCCCCAGGCTTCAACAATGAGCTCAAATCCATTTACAAACTCTTCCTAGCACCTTTTGTAAAGGCAAATATAATCCATATAATAAAGGTAAAGGCACAGAAAACACAATCTTTAATCGAAAAACCAACCAAATTGCAACTAACTCAAATTTCAAACATATACTTGATATTGAGCTTCCTCTGGCCTGCAGTGTTAGCTACCTTCCCAACCAAACAGGCGACCGATTGCGCACTTAACAAACAACTCCAGCTGTGAATGTTTGATTTCCTTGAAAAGAAAAAGGTTTCTGTTAAATGGCTGCAGGCATCCTTCTGCACGCAGGTCAAATCCAGACCCACGCAACACGCAGATCATGACAGCAAAGCATCTGTGAATCTGTTGTTTGTGTCATGGTTTTCCACACAGGCGTCAGAAAAACTCTGATCTGAAAAGCTCTCAGATCTCAAACTCACCCAACACTCATCACAACACACATGGGAAAAGCACGTTCCAAACAACCGCAGCTTCCTGGCTCATACTGCTCTCCCAGAAACCAGATACTTCAGATATGAGGAGCTCACATGCAAACCAACTGATCCACCTGCCTGCAGCTGAAGGTAACACTTCAGGAAGCTGAAAGCAGCAACACAGTCAGTCAGAATCCAGAACCAAGAACAAAAGCTGTGTTCCCAAAGCTGCTAACAGAGCAAGCCACTCAGCAGTACAGCAAGCCACACCCGTGATCCTGGGTTTTCTCACTCTGTAAGGTCATTAATTACATTTAATGAAACAAGGAAGCATTAAACACGTTGCAATTCCCACTTATTAAAAGTAAAGATGCTTTACAGAACTATAAGCTATTTTTCAATACTGCAAGAGAATGAGAAGGAAAAGGAAAACCGCATTTTGAAAACAGGAGTCAACATCCTGCTGTTCTGCTTCACACACTAGAAGACAAGCTTTGATTTCCAGCACAAACTCATCTGTAGATCCCAGGACAGAAGGCCAAAGAAGCAGAGCACTGTGCCAGGGCTCTGCTGTCCTGCCTGGGTAGAAAAGAGCATCCAAGACTGGGCAGGCTTTTCAAATGTGCCTCTAAACTCTGTGACTTGACCTCGGTCTGCAGAGAGAATGCACAAACACATGAATGAAATGGCTCAGTGTAGCCTACCGTGGAGCAAATTTAATACCACTTAATTCCAAGACAGTTACTTTCCATTATTCTCTAACAACAAATCTGGTAATGGAGCAGTACCATGCTTACCTCTCAGCACTGCTGCTTACTGTGAAAACAATTTTCTATAGAGATAGCAGAACGTGTTCTACTTAGATGGAAAGGTTGGAAATCAAAACTATCTGCAAAACGAGACAAAGAAAGCTTGTCACATCTGCAAAGTGCCTGAGATGTTCAAATGCAAGCTACCACCTACAACTCAAGGACACAGATGGCAGCAATACCTCAACCTAGCAGCAGCTGGAATGCCAGTTTCAGAACAAGCACTTTTTAGTATTTTAGAGCAGTGCAAAGACAAGTGCAAATTGCTGCACAGCTTTCCTACATAGCAACGTACAGTGAGACAAAAGCAAGCCTGTAACACCGAGCAGTGCATGTTTCAGTATAATGATGCTGGATGTGAACATTCTGAGCATCAGATTGAACGACTTTCCTTCACAAAACGTAGCTGGACAACTATGTCTTGAAAAGGAGTCTGATGACTCTGTACTTCAGTTATCAAAAAGGGGTTGGTCAGTCACTGCCTACAAATTGGAGGGTAAACAGGGAAAAAAGTACTGTACTGCAAAGTAGAAGGCCTCGCTGAAACACTGCAAATGTCAACTTTTACATTAAAGCAAGACTGGATGATTTAATAATCTGTTCACTATTTACACTTCATCTACTGCCATTTTCAATCACCAATAATAAAGGCAATGAAAGGACTTTAAACAACACTGTATCAATTTTTAATTTAATCTGACAAATAACAATGTGCAATCATTTTATGGTACGCACAGCACACATCAGCACCTCTCCCTAACATTTTATAGCAAATTAAACATGTGCAACCTCTACTGTTTTTCACATCAGTATGGAGGGAAGGAGCTTCAGTTTCATAAAATGAAAAGCTGAAAAAAAAATGAAGCAGGATTTGTGCACCTGTGGTGGAGAGACATTTAAGCTTTCTGGACAAACAGATTTCTGTATGCCTTGCTGAACAGACTGAGCCTCATCACATCTGTCCCCCATGAAGCTGCCTTGGCTGGGAAAGCAATGATGACGTCCAAGACAAAAGTTTCCTAACATAATGGTTCCCAACAGTTTGAATGTCAAACAGAATATCTCTGGTGCACAAACAGAGATTCCAACCTTCAGCAACATGCTCTTGCATATGGTTCCTCAGATTCACCAATTCTTTTAATACTGCTTTAAAGAGTAAGCATTTCACAAAGAAGGATGAAATAACAAGACTAGAGGCAGCTTTTGGGTTGTGTTCTTTTTGCCATGCAAAGCTAAAACACCAACTCTGAGATGCTGCAGTGTCACCTCCTGCACATCACCATCTATCTTTAGTAGCCTTTCCAGAAGCTGCCATGCAGGTTGCACATACGGTACAAAAACCCTTTAGAATCTACTTGTTCTATGAGAGTAGAACTACGCCCCCTATATATATTTGGAAAAAAAGAAAAAACAAAATAACCACACACAAAAAGAAGAACAAGCAAAAAAACCAATCCCAAACAAAAAAACCCATCGGACTTACACCAGTGCTTTCAAACTTACTGCTTACTCTCCACTGATTATTTATAAACACAGTATTACACCATGTAAGACTGGTAAGCTAAAATGACAGAGCAGTGATTCCCAATAAATAAAGCTTTTGTGACTTCCAGTATGGGAAAGTTAAGCAAGCTGTGAGGTTTACATCATTTCCCTTGGAAAGTTATACAAATCCCTGCTAGAATATTTGTTTTTGTTGGTGTACCTAAAGCTTCCCCCTCACACAATGAGTACCTCCTCCCATCTCCTAGCTTCTTTCCAGTGTGTGCACATTTCTAACACATATAGCCTGTTAACTTCTTCATCTGATACAGCAGAACACGAGTAGGATTTGCATTTAACATTCAACCATTCACCAACTGCTACGATTGATTTCCATGACTAATGAATCCCAGAAAAATCAGACCCACTTCCCAGGTCCACAAAACATGTTTACCACATAAATTAGAACAAGACATTTCACTTCTTTATGCTTAAAACAGGAACTCAGTATTTTTCTGTTGAGTCAAAACGTGAGGACAGACATATTAAAGGCCCCAGGGTGCCTGAATGCAACAGGACTACAGAATATGAAGTCATTTAGAAATTAACAAATGTGGCATCCCATGACTCCACCAAAGCAAAGAAAACCCTTACAAAACAAATTAAAAACCTGCAAAATTAATTAATAAAATAAGAAATCTACTCAGTATACCAGGAGGTTGTTTTTTTTTTTTTGTTTGTTTTGTTTTGTTTTTTTTTTTTTGTAAGCTACATCCTGTGTTTTACAGAACTGGAAATAAAATCCAAACAGCTGACATTACCTGCATCTTCTAAAAAGTACTGCACAGCCATCAGCACCTTCCCCTGAGGCTGTAGGTCAAGCTGCGGAAAGAAAGATACCAAAGGTGAGGTATGTGGTAGACTGAAACTCCCAAGAGCTCACACTGCTCTCTAGGCAACCAAAGCACAGCGTTCAGTACTTCTGGATTGTGACCCTGTTCCATATCTCAGGCTGCAGCAGAACCAGGTGCTTTTATCCTATTGTTTTTACTAGTATGCTGCATCGCTTTGATGCTGACCCAGCAGCTCTGTGCAGTTACAGTTCACTGTTTTCACACATTCTCGTCCCTCTTCTTTATTTCATCAGCATCTACTTTTACTTTCAGAAAATTCAATTTGCACAGGAATCCAGTTTTCAAGTTCTGTACAATTAATAGCAACACTGTCAGCACAAACCACAGATACACCAAATACTGTCACACGTCATCAGAAAAACAGCAATGGCATCAACATTTATTTTGCTTCTTCCCCTCAAACTGTTACACATGGTTTCTCTGGCAAATCCTACTGACCAACGTACATTACAAAGCTCCCAGAGAAAAACAAGCGTCTTTCAAGCCTGGGCTCAGTAACCATGACTTCTTAACCTGCGGCCTTCATAAAGGATAGGAAACCATTAGCATGAAAGAATCAGACTCAGTCTTTACCTTAGAGCAAAGTACCACTGGGTTAATACAACTTGGGAAAAACAAGATACACCCATGAATGTATTTCCACAAATCCCACTGCCCTACTGGGATAATGGCCAATTCTATGTATTTTTTTATTTCTAAGGCACTGTCTGACATTCAGAAACATCTGCCTAACAAAGGCAAAGACTTCAGTAGCTACGGACTGGTTTCCTCTCCAAGCACAAAGCCAACCTTCCAAGCTATAGTAAGTGAAGTGACATCTTTGCTGAGCACAACGGTTTACCCAAGTCGTGTCTGAGGCCATTTAATGCTGAAGGTGACTAGATGGTACCTGCTCTGTGGATAACAAGCAAGAGATTTCAAACCACTGAGCTGGCTGAACTGATTGCTATTAGTTTCAGTTCTAAGTAATTGCTTTTGTCTCAGAATTCAAGTTAAGGTGGGGAAAAAACGTACAATTTCAGAACATAACAGATGAACACAAACCAGTGAGGTATTACTGAGCTTGCAAAATCTGTAAAATCTTTCAATAATATCAAACATCACCTTAAGTTTTCTGTTTTTTACCTTCAAGATCTGTTTGGTGAGGTGGGCTTGCGCATACTCAGAAGAGTGAAATCCTGCTACTTGCAATAAAAATATACTTGAGATAGATAGAATAGTTCCTTAATGAGTATTCCCACACTAAGCAAGGCAACAACGGGATGTTCCCTCTGGTGCTTCTACCTAGCATTCAGAATGACCTACCGTTGACTTATCCACCCCTTTCCAAAGGGGAACTAGCTTTGTCACTTCTGTGAGCAATGACACCCATCAAACCAGACGTATCCATAACTAACTTTACTATCTGCTCATCCTGCTTCAGGTGGGCCAGTGAAAAGGCCTTCTCCTGAAGCATCCTGGGCAAATTCAGCAACAGTCCAGCCCAACAGACTTTGAATATGAGACTGCGCATGAGATTTTAAGGAGACCTGCTTGTATTCAGAAAATGCTTCTTTTGCACTGACCAACTCTGCACACAGGTGAGCAGTTCCTGTAGCACCAGATACACACACTTCTTGTGCAAACTGTCTGGAGTTCAGCTTTACCTACAACTGCATGTTGGTCAAGAACATGGCACCACGCCACCCAGCTCTCACCCAAATGATGGGATATCTAGACACTGTTTTCTGAATCTTTTCTCTCCATTCTGTGCAGGACACTAACTAGAGTTCTGATACAATTATACAATTCTGGAGTGTGACATGCCACATCACATTCTCACCGCACTTTTTGCTAGACCAGAGTGTGAGCAGCTTTACTGAATGAAAAGAGAAGGAAGAGATCTTATTTAAGCTTATTCAGGTAGGGAATAGGATTTTATAAAGGTGGCATCAGTAAAACCGTGATTTATCAAAAACTCACTGCAGCTCATCAACTGAATGAATGAAATAACATGTTCAGTATTTCAGATCTGTGGGCCCGCGGTTTTGATACTGCCTGTTCCTATCGCTTCTCTCTTGACACAAAAACTACGTTTTTAATTTGCTTTTTATTTGATGCTTACATGGAAATTAAAGATCATTCAAACACAATTATTTAACAGTTGCGCTTTGATTTTACGTTGCTTGACAACAAACAACTTCAGTATTTAAAACTACAGCAGACCTTAACTTCACCTCCTACACTACGCTCTTGAGTTCGACTCTCAAAATTGCATCTAGCACAATACAGGAGCAAGCAGAGGTTTAGCAAGATGCTGCACCTTTTGATTTCATCTACAAACCACTGGGCATAGAGACAAGAAAGGATACCATTAACTCATAAATGTGGATTAACAAATGTCCATTACGCAGCATCAAGCCAGGTAAAACATTTTGTAAAAATACATGTGTAAAACAGAAACATCAAGCTGAAATGCCTCAGAATCAGCTTCTCTTTAGTCTCTGGAGGAATTACAACAATCAGTTCAAATTTAAGCACAAGCTGATTTCTGTAACAAGCATTAAGCTTTCAAAAATAGGCACTCAGTGATTTATATCAGTATTTCATACACTGAAGTCACTGGTTTCACTATCAATTTCTTGAACTTTGTATATAATCTGCTTTTAAAAAGGCTGCTAAAGTAATGGTCTTATAAGTCCTGCTACACAGGCAAAAGGGATCAAAACACTCATAGATTAAAGGCACAAAGTGTCTGTTCAGCTGGGAAGAAGCAGAACCAGGTCAGCCAGTTTAAGGAATTATTCTCTTCCCTTACCCAGAATTCTGCTTTGCCGCTGCCCTTCTTGCAGCGCTCCGCCAGGACAGACACACCTACAGTCACCTCAGACAACGGCTCTTCTGCTGCTTTCATGAGAACAATCTGAATCACGCGTCCTTCATAAATGTGGGCATCAAAAGTAGACTTCCATTCCGGATACATGGTGGGTTTCTTCTGAACCAGAGTTTTTCCTCTCTCTGAAAGACACATCAAAAATGGAGAGAAACTGTAAAACCAAAAGGCAAAGCTCACCCAGACAGCAGAATATGTAAAGGCAATAAAGGTGTTACTGTGCCACCCAGAGACTGGGGCAGACAATACCCAGCGTAGGATTAGTCATATGCATTCCAAGAGGGAATATTTGCACAGCTGCTTTCTGGCATCAATCTCCATGACGTGTTATCTGATTACAGTGAATACCTACTGCTAGAAGATAAGACAGATGTTATGCTAACCAAAGTTTAAATTGAAACTTGTGGCAGAGATGAGAAGTTCCACATTTCCACTTCCAAGTTGTCCCAACATGGCAGTTCTATTCATTAACAAGTCCTTCTCATCAGCACTGTACTCCCTCTGCTGTGCTTGCCACTTTTTAATGAGCACCAGAAGGCCCTGTGTGTACAGGTACATACAGCACACACAGACCCTGCGTACTTAAAGAGTAAGGACACCTGCTACCTTCATTTCTTCTTGCCTTCAGGTTAGTGTACCAACCAGCTGTTTTCTGTCCCTATCTATACAGGCATCAATGTATGTCTGGCCAGCTCCATAATCTCGTTGACACATCCAAAATGAATATTTCCTGCCTTCTAAACAACCACATCCAGTTTTTCCAATGCAACTCTCATACATGATGCCACTTCCACAGTTGCTAAGCCAACTAGTCCCTGTCTGTACTCAGGTAATTGAAAACCATTTTGTATATTCTGTACAATTTTTTGCTGCTGATCAGGATATTTGCTGCAATAGAAATGCTTTCTAAATGCCTCTTCAGTTCTGAATGATATTTTTTCCTCCTGTAAGGAAGTTGTTACACAATCAAGGCAGGAGCAAAGCAGATTACATAGCTGGACCCTTCCCGAGGAAGCTGCAGTGCGATCTGCCACCATCAAATTTTCATTCACTTCAATGAAAGAAGAATGAGACAACTCTTAAAGAAAACAAAAGCCAAGTTTCCTGGAAACACAGGGCAAAGACCACATTCATTCGGAAGCAACTTGCTTGATACAAGTTGCTCAACTGTGCTGAGCTATCCACACAAGAGCAAGGAAAAGTTTCCTTCCTTACTAGGGAAGGCCTATTCACAACAGCATAACAAATTACAGCTTTGACAAGCAAACCAAACTCTGCCTGTCAAAAGGCATACCAAAATGTTCACATAGCTACCTGAGGACCTCTGTCATTCCACAGTGATCCTGAGCATTCCTCCTTGACTGAGTCAAATGCTTTTATCTGAAATTTGGGCAACTTTGCAGACAGAAAAACTCAAAAACATCAGCAATACAAACCTACCTTCAGAGCTTTGTAATTGCTATTCACAGCTATGGAAGAATTTGGAAATATTACAGTGAAAGTATATCAAGTAAGGTCAAAGGGAACATCATTCAGGGGTTATAAAGACAGACAATAAAGGTAAGGTTGAATTAAAACTGAGCTGAATGCATGTTTATGTTAGCCTCTTTTTTGGGTTGTTAAAGCCAGACTCCTTCATCAGAAAGGCATGTTTCAGCCAGCATCCTTGAGGGTACAAGGAACTGCAGCCATTTGCAAGACTTTTGGTGACAACTCAGTTTGCAGAAGCAGCAGTACCTTACAGGTGAGTTGATAATAATCTCTGTATGCTTTTTAGTGGGAAGGAGAACTATTTCAGCCCATTCACAGAAGTGTCCCTATTTCCTTGCTTCAATTAAGATCTGCTTTGCTCAGTTACTATGCACAGTTCTTACCCTACAGAGAACTGGAAGAAGCTACCTGAATTAATGGCAACATCCTCCAGCTCATCCATGCTGCTTTTATAATTAAAATCATACTAATTGAGACTTGCCACAGATCACAGTATCTGCCTGTAATTGAACGCTGAAGTCTGAGCAACGAACAGCCTTTAAAAACACTGTTCCTACCCCTCCTGCGTTCAGGCCTCCATTATTTCTCTGCTAACACTAGTGGCTTCAAATTCCTTTTCATATCCGTGAATTGGCTTAATGCCTAATCATCAGGCAAATTATTTTCTTCTTATATAACGAGATTTCCTCAGTCACGCTTCATTACTCAAACCCAACTGAAGTTATTCCAACCCTTGTCAAACTGGCAACAGGAGCATCAGTTTCTTTTCCTCAGCACCTCCCACCCCCAACTAGTCACTGCTCTGAGGTTCACAGCACCCTTCACCCCCATCTTTCACTCCTAGGTGCAAGCAGAGAGGAGAAATGGTGGGACAATTCCACCTGCCAAAAAGAAACATAAGGTGACACACTGAAGGGGATTTATTTAGACCACTTCCACACCTCCACACGTTCTAACAATCAGTGCTTTGAACACCATTTCTTTAGAGCGTCTCCCATCAGCCTAGGAAAGAATCTCTGTGAAGCTTAATGCATTGGCTGGATGACAACATTTTCTGGAAGGGTACTGTGCTTTTCCTGCTCTCTTTGGCATTTTGTGAAGCCCTAGAAACATAAGGCAGGATTTAGAAGGCTCGGTCTAATCCATACAGCAATTTCTAGACTTTTCTCTCTCATCCTGTTTGGCTGCAGTGCATATTTTAGGTAAATATCTGAAATTATTTTAAACCTTTGAAGAAGTGGTCCTTGAAGGTTGCAGGCCTGCTCAATGAGGAGATGCTAACAAAACTTTGAGTGCAAGTCATTCCAAGCAAGTAACCCTGCCAAAAACCTCAGTTATTATTACAACAATCACATACATTTGTCATTAATATCTATCCTCTACGGCAATAAAACTAATGTACTCCTGTCTGCACGAGAAGGCTATTCTCAAACTTGCTGCTGTTCATATCCCTGTTAGTGATACTCCACAACATCAATCTTTCTTGCAGAGCCCTTGTGAGTGCAGTCTGTTGCTCGCAGAACTGGAGAGAACAACATTTATTTAACATTTGCAAACCTATGTCATATAAAGCTAATGACTCAGCTCATACAAAAGTGATATTTCAAGTGTTTCAGCTGCTTCACCACGTGTTTTGTGAATACAATGCATTTCACCTGGTGATGCTGATGCAGGAGAAAGAAAGCTTAGACTTCTGCAGCATTCTGACTGCAAGGATGAGTTCTCACAAAGAAGCCCCATTTAACAGTGGGGGTAGAAACAAGCTGTGAATTTTGCCGTTCTGAAAGAAAGGCTCATGCAGAGGTGCTTGGCATGCAGGAACAGCAGGACATGTTACCATTCACAGAGTAAGAGGGATTGCAGTATTTCTCAACAGTTTATTTGTAATCCAAGAAGTACCACCATCGGTAAGCTCACCCGTAGTCAATGCCTCCTTCATCTTGATAGCACAGAAAGGCTGTAGTTGTTCCCCTTGATTCTGCATGGGTCCCAGCTCAAATGAGTTGAAAGATATCCGTAAGAAGGGGGCCATTGTTCACAACACTGCTGATGCACACCTGTGTGGAAATAAATGAATAGAAGACCTGGTCTGAGACACGTGAGAAAGCAGTGCACAGAGCTCAGCCATCACAGCCAGTACAACTCCAGCTCTGAAATCCAGAACTCTTACATGAGGTTTTCAGACTGGAAGCCCAAAGTAAAACCAGCCCAAAGCAAAACAAGAAACATCACCAGTATGACAAAAGCCTTAACATAAGGCACTCTTTTTAACTGCACCCAGTTTGACTCTGATCCTCCTCAATTTTTAGTCAGTGAGGCCACTCCCATTGAGAGATAGATTTTATCAAAGAAATCACAAAGTAAGACACACATTCAAGTGGAAAAACTTCATACGTTTATTGCCTTTTTTTCCCAAATAATAAAAAACTAATTGCTTTTGGAACCACTTGTATGACTATATAGAGTGTATTTAAGTACATATTCCTACCAATACAAAATGACAGCACTGAGTCACTTGGCTTAAACTTCCAGGAAATGCAGGAATCCAAACCACCTAAGTCAGCAAAGTGGCATTTCACCTGTCTTCCCTCCTTCTCAAGAGCTCCTAAACACAGAGCAGATTTCTGCTCAGTCTGCAGCACCTCCAGCAACGCAGTTTGCTGTACACCAATCCTTGTTTGGTGAAGGAAACATGAATTAATCAAAAGGAAGGGAAGCAGCATTCCTCGCTAACAGATGACTGAGTGCAATCAGGGAAAGGATTACGAGAAAAAAGTTAACAAGGTGCTAGGCAGAGATGATGGAAAAAAGAATGAAAAGAGGGCTGAGCTGGTCTTAAGCTGTAGATTGTTAACTAGCTTGGTTGAGCAGATAGGAACAGCATTTTTAGCAATCCTGCATACGCTTGCCTTTTTTTAATTTTTATTATGTAATGGCATTGACCTGAGAAGCAATTAACATTCTTTAAACTCTTAAGGCCCAGAACAGTCATTCAGACAACAGACTGTGAAATCTGCAGCAAAGTAGAACGCAGCTCCCAGCACCATTTTCTGGCACCATGCAGTATTCTTACATGGAAACAGTTTGCAAAAGGAGGAAAAAAAAAAAGTCTAATGACTCTCTAACATTTATTGAGCTAGTTTTTATTAATGGAGCAGTTCCCTATTTTCAGTAGAGTAAGGCGAAATTAGAAAGCAGGTTGAGGATTACTGGGCACCATTTGCTCACTTTACTTATGAAGAAACAAAATCGCTTCTGACATGTTCTTGGGGATCCCAGGCAAAGTATTTGCAGGCAGGCCAACAGCCACACACACAAAGAATGAAACACCGTGCTGCTGAAGGGGCTCTGGCTACGCAGCACTCTCTCGCAGGAAGCAGCCTAGGTCCCAGAGATGCTCTCCCTTCAGCCTGCCCTGCAATGAGCCACAGGCCCCCCAGGCTCTCGGTGAAATAACAGCCCTTCCACACTGGTTAATCCACTATTTGGTGAGGCTGGGGATTGAGAAGGGCTCAAGGAGAGCCGAAGAGCTTTTGCAGAAGCACCATCTGACACCTCTCTCAGACAGAGGCAGCCTAAGCGCCGCGCTCATAAAGAGCTTTATGGAGGAACATGTTTTTACTGCCTAAGAGAGACTTGTGCTTAGGGCTATCTCAAGTGACGGGCTGTATGACTCACCAGCACCAAACCACGTAATGTTACTCTCAGAACAGGTGCAAAAGAAACCAGAATTCATACTATTTCTGGGGAAATACCTTTAAGACGCACTCAGGCCATAGGCAGAAACAAGCTAGGTAGGTTGGTGTGCAGCTCCCACTGGAAACTTTGACAAAAATCACCAGGTTGCAGAATAACGCAGACTGGAAGGGAAAACTCGCTAGAGATCACAATTACAACACAATTAGAAGGCTTCTAAAACTAACGTCAGCTAAACTAACACCTGCACTGATTTCACCCAACCTGAAGCAGATATTAGTCTGAAGCAGACCACAAGGCTTGTTACTGGGCGTTTACTTCAACAGCAAATTAACAGATGAAATAGAAATAGGTACAAAGAAACGTGGATTTTGTACACCCATGCAATCTTCCTTTGTTCTGATGATGTCATGCAAAATCCGCTTTGAAGGCCACATTTTCAACTCTGCTTCTCAAAACACTGTTTCTCAGTTTTTGTTTATGGTTATTTGTTCTAGTTTTGTAACACTTGGCTTGAGTACCATCTCAAATCCTCACTCAGAAACGCAGCGCTAAACACAAGCAATGGAGAAGTCAGCAGGAAACATCAAAACCAAAATCAAATTCTTCGGCCATGGTCACAAGAGCTTACCTTCAAGGTTACCATGAGGAGCACTAGCAGATGCCTTTCTGTTTTTCCATTTAATAGAAAAACATTAACAAAAACCTTACTTTCACATAAGAAACTTCCTATTTCTGCCAAGTTTCTTTACCCTTAGACATTCTGCTTTTTGAAGAAAAGTAGGTATGTTCAGTAGGTATCCCATTACACATGATAGACTGCACATAGAGATGCAGGGAGGCTGGTTAAGTAAAGACAGCAGGGTTAGGATTCACTCCTCGACTGCTTTCCAATCTTCATCTACACGAAGATATTGCACTTGACACATACTGCCTGTACTGCTGTAAACAACAAAAACACACCTTACTGAAACTGTTTTTGACAGCAAGAGAAATTCCAGAGAAATTTACTTCAATTCAACAACGTTTCTAAAAATCCCTGCTCATCCAAAGTTTTGTCACATCTGAAAAGCCAAAGCACCCAAAGTAATACACAACATTGCTCACTGCAATTTAGACAGCAGTACCCCTGTGGTCTCCTTTAAAGCATTAACTCTAGCTTTAAGAACCACGTGTGTCAAGGACTGCTATAAACCACCAGCTGTGACCTAAAGGCAATTTTACAATGGACTCACATGACCTGTATTACAGCATTAAAGCCAGCATGTTTTCTATTCAGTGTATGATTTTATCCAAACTGGTGGAGAAACTGAGATGCAAACTCCAAAAATACTGCAACTGACAGAAAAAACACTCTGGGAAGATGCTTTAGAAGCACTGTTTTGCACCAAGTACCCATGATGGCCGCAGTGATTCAGACTGTGCTCCTCACCGCTCCCCAGAACATTCATTACAAGGATCCCAGAGCGTCTACTGCAAGTTGAAGCTACGTCCAATGCCACCTACAACAGATTCTACAAAACCCATATCAACTTCCAAGTTGCTTTAAAATTGACAGCTTTTGACCATATTCAATCTGAAAAGAAAATCATCCATGTTACTGTTGACTATAATAAGCATGGAGAGAAGAGTGAAAATTGAAACTTCACAGCGATGCCAGCATCGGATGGGTGAGTGCTTAGGTTTTTATTCTAACGTGACACTGAAAACTGTGAGACACAACGGACTAGCTCCTCTCCTGCCAGCAGTGCACAGCAGCTATCAGGGACTCATGCTGAAGCTGAAGACATTGCTTGTTATGACTCCCTTGTGCTGTAATTCTTCCTTGCTGCAAACAGCCACCTTTAATACAGACCAGGAGCAAAGAAGCAGTCGTGACTCTTGCACAAAGTGGGAGGAGGAGGAAATATTGCCATGCCAAGAACAGGTTGCTCAGAGGCTGTCTGTAGAGGCGTTTAAGACCAGGCTGGATGGGTCCCTGAGCAATTTCATCAAGTACTTCATCTAGCAGCACTGCCTGTTACAGAGGACTTGGAACTTGATGATCCTTGAGGTCCCTTCCAACCCAAGCCACTCTATGAATCTGTGATTCTAAGAGCAGAACGCTAAGGGACTAAAAAGTAATGGAACAGTTTGTCCATCACTGATACAGATCTACACATTCAAGCAAAAAGCAAAATGAGAAGTCTCTTCTGCTGATATGAGCCTCTGGTTTCCTTGTAACGGTCAGAAAAGCAACCAGTCCCTGCATTTTGCAGATGGATGTTCAGCTGCACACACACCAGGGTCGTGCCTTTTCCCTGGAATGACTGCTTTCTGTTCAGCTCCTTGCTGAAATCACTTCCAAAGCCACAAAAATGCTCTGGGGCATGCCAACACCAGCAGCCAGCATCACACACAACTGACCATTGGGTGTTCACCCCTCAAAACACATAGTAAGAACTTCTGCTTCTTAAGATGCAGAAATAGGAGTTATTTCCAACTTGCAGCAAGGCCTTTTTTTTTTTTTTTTTTTTTTTTAAACAGAAGGGCTTCCTTTCCTCCATTCTGGCAATGTACAAAAGGTTCAAGAATGACAGCAACAAACTACTGCCCAGCTTCCGCTGCCCCCACAGAAGCCTCAGAACCACGACTCAGCTCTTTGTGTATTTCCTACAGAAGGTTCTCCTGCTAATTTAACAACGATAACACAGGAAAGTCTGCAGGTAGAGATGCTGGCAATGTGACTAACATCCTTTACCTGTGCACACCATTAAGATGGACATTTGCATTTTGATTATTCCTTTTCATGGTGTTTCTTGCTTACATTGCAGAATAACACGCGCAAAGCAGTCCAGATGGCTCCTGCTCCTGAATAACTCTCTTCACAGATACACACTGCGCTGATCAAAATACCACCTTCAAGACAGAAGCAGCAGTAACTTTGCTGTAGAACATGTACCTGAATCAAGGTCATCACGATACTTATCACTTTTGACATTGGAGACCAACAGTTACTCTGTAGAGAATTTTCACACGTTCTGATTCAGGTCCTGTCCTCTATTTGATGTTCTGGGGGAGGAAGTTGCTCACAAAAAGAAACCAGTTTAAAGAATTTTGTTATATTTGCTGCTATCAGCCTTGTCAAGAAGACAGACTGCAGCGCTCTGCATCAGCTGGACTTCCCTAAGCACTATGGGCTATGACTCCACCGCTGTTTCAGCTAAAGGCTGAAAAGGGACCTATAGCCAATGAGGTACCTACAGCAAACACTACAACGTAATGCTGACAGATGCCAAAGGAGGCAAAAAAAACATTATTATTTAGCCACTCAAGTTGCAACTGTCTCATTTTTATTTACTCCAATAAATGACAGATCCATCTGTCCGTGGAATCCAAGAGTGGTAATTAGAAGCAGGAAGCCTCCCCGCAATATTCTGATGAACTGTCACGTGGAAAAGATTTTATAAACAAAATAAAAATAAGCCTTAAAATTACAACTAATGCACTACACTTAGAAAAGCCGAATACATAATGCATGAGGAAAGCAATGCATCTAAAGCATTAGCAAATACTTAACAAAATGCACTTACCTTTGGGGAGTCAAGCATTAAAAGAACATCTTTAAGGCAGCCCAACTTCTACAGCAATATTTCTAAAAACATTTTCAAGTAATTATACCAAAGGACTTAGGTGAGAAAAGACTGACAAGAAATAAAGCAGTACAATTCAATTTCCTTGCTGTTAAATCCACTGTCAAATTATATGGTTCTTTTCTTTTTTTTTTTCCCAGATCAAAACTACAAAAAGACAGTCCTCTAAACTCTAGTGTAAGTTACATATATTTTGGGATCAGCTTTGTTTTATTCAATAGAACATGCAGAATGATTCATCATATCCTACAAATATAGCTCAAAAATAAAAAAATGTTGCTACCATTTCCTTCCTTCCCTCTCCCATTTTTTTTTTTTAATACTTCTGCTTTTATTGGGTTAGAACAGGACCAGAAACAGAGAATGACATAATAAAATCTCTTATTACTTGTGTTGCAATAGAATGGAAAGAATCCAGCCAGATAAGCTATGTTCCTGGGTTTCTCCTGCCTGGCCAGAAGCACGGATAATTCCATGTTTCCATGCCTCTTCTGCAAGATCAACAGTCCCATAACTGCCTGAATTTATGGCTGTATTAGAAGCTGGTGATACTTCCCTATCACTTACAGGCCAAAGAAATTACTGATGCTTTCCCTGTATTTATTATTCCCAACTCTTTAAACCTTCCCAGGGCAAATTTCTGGAAAGCAGCACGGAACGCCCTTTTCTGGAAAGGGAAGATTAGGAGCAGAGTTGCTGTTTTTGATATTCCACAACTGGTACTTGGCAATAAGGAACTCATGTCAGCCACTTGTCCTTTTGAACTGCGAGTTCTGAACTAAGAAATGGTAAGTTTAATTCACTTCGTTCTTTTTTTTTTTCCCCTCAAACTCCCAAGCTCTCCTTCCTGCTTGGACAGAAATATCCAATTAAGTGACAGAACTGCGAGCATGCTGCCTTTCACCTTCATCAAAATCAAGCCTGAAACAAGAGTGCAAGAGAATCCTCTTCGTTAACTTCCATAACAAATACCAGACATTAAAACCACATACCAGGAGAAAAAAAAATGCCTAAAGCCCCAAACGTTGTTACTTCTGACAGCACAAGCCACTGCAATGGCAAGGAAAGCCAGGAAAGCAGCAGGCTGGCTATCAGATGGTTATGGAGCTCCAGGTGTGGGAACAAGGCATTAATATAAAATCACACTACGAAATGGGAGTATTAAGGAGGCAAACAAAGCTAACTCTGCACTTGTGTTACTCAGGACTAACTAGGAAGGCTTTTTTCAGACAAGGGAAGGGAAGTAAGCTGAAGTTTAGCGTGCTTTTCTCAGCAATTAAATAACACAGTTCCTTCTACATGGGAGGAAAATGTTACAGCGAAAGAGACGAAGCTGCACTTCCTCTGTATCTCAGCAGGCTCAGGATCCAAGCCAGCCACCAGGCCTGGATCTGGCAGTGAGCAGAGTCCTGTGCACCTTCTGCATGTCAGCTTGCAGCTTCCACTTCCTCAGCAGCGCCTAAGGAACGGGCCAGCATTCAGTCAGCACGACGCCACTGCAAAACTCAAGTTTATCATGTGAACACAACTTCCTCCAAAGGAACAACGCAGCCCTGCAAGAAGGTTCACAGCCTTTCCTGAAGCGACCAGCAAGCTTGGGGAAAGGTGCCTCCTCCTGCAGCTTGCAGGTGCATCAAACTGCAGGGGAGTGGCCAAAGAGAACCAGCAGCTCGTGCCCATTTAGGTTCCACATAACCAAGGACTAAGCATCTCCTCCATGCTCAGCTTCTGATTTCAGTGCTCTCTGTCTCCTCAGGCATGACAGGCACACAAATGTTACTAGCTCTCTGCCTGCATACACCAGGTTAAGTTCCCTTCTGTCAGTGCTGCCTGAAAGCTCACTCCAGCGATTTCCTAAGAGCTACTTTTCCTCCTGTCCCACT